CTTTTACTCATCCCCAAATAGTTCCAGCACCCCTCAGGCCAACAAGAAGCGCATATCATTGCAACGGCGACTGAGTGCAGAGCCATCTTCGCCTAACAACGGACGTGTAACACCAGACATGCAACAGACGCGTACCCGAAGTATGTCACGCACATCTAGTGCCGTGCCACAAAACATACTGTCCTCACGAATCCCCATGAACGAACAGCCGACCACGATACGAAGCTCAGCCGACTCAGTCATATCATATGAGTCCACCGCCCCGTCTTTCGCAACGCGACAACTGGGTCCTCTCCAGCAAAAAGCAGATATCATCGAGGACGGAGACCGGCTATCGCCATTACTGGAAGATGACCCCCAGTCATTCGATCTTGTCTGCGGACCCATCGAGAACTCACGATCACAATATTCTCTCGAGACCAGATCAGAGCAACTCTTTTCGAGAGAGCATCTAAAGGCCATCTTTGCCGACACTGCATCGCTACTACGGTTTACGTCATTCCTGAGCATCGCCCGGCCCAACTCGCTTCCTACTCTCATCTACTACCTCGACGCACTGAAAGCGCTACGAGCCATCAGCTATGCCAACGCCGTCGCAGAAGCCCTGGAACCCATTCAGGGCTTGGACTTCACCGAGACTCCAGCGCGGACGACCATGAACGCAGTGTTGGAGGAAAAGGCCAATCGGGCCTTTGACGTCCTGGTCCGTGACGATCTTCCGGCTTTCATCACCCACGTCTTCATTCAAGTGGTTAGCGTGAGCATTGCGAAACGCGTAACAGGAAATTTACCTCCGATGCTTCGTGAGGCTAGCGAGGGTCTGGCCGAAGTCTTCTGCCTGACAGACCCATCTAGGACTGATAACCCGATCATCTTTGCGTCGGAAGGTTAGTTTACCGTTGCGCCTTGAAACTGACCGTTGGTTAACGTGAAACTAGAATTTCACCGCACGACTCAGTACGGCGTTGGGTATGCCATCGGTCGCAACTGTCGCTTTCTCCAAGGCCCGAAGACGAATCGGGCCAGTGTTGAGCGCTTTGGCACAGCGGCCCGCGAAGGCAAAGACCACAGCGAGGTGTTCCTGAACTAGTAAGTGCCGAGGTCACTCTTGCGACTTCATTGGTGAGCATTTGTTGACTTCAACACAGTCGCCGTGATGGATCGCCATTTATGAACCTTTTGATGATTGCGCCTCTTCTTGATTCGCGGGGAACTCTACGATACTTTATTGGCGCGCAAATCGACATCTCTGGTCTCGTAAAGGACAGCACCGATCTCGAGGCTTTCCGGCGCATGCTCGATGAAGAGGAGGGCCAGAAAGAGAAGGAGCCTCAGAAAGATGAATTCCAGGCGCTCAGTGAGATGTTCAATAACACCGAGTTGGACACCGTGCGCAAGTACGGCGGCAACATGCATAGAGAACATCTGGAAGAACAGGACGATGCGAGCATGCAGCACAAACCCAGACTGCTGATCCAGGACCAATCGACCTTTGACGTTGACAGGGCTGAGAAGCCAGCGATCAACAAGGCAGACGGCAGGCTGTCTGGCCCATACAAACACGTAAGTGGCTGCCGTTTCTACGTGACAATGCGAGGAGACTGACATAATTTAGTACCTCGTTGTGCGCCCGGCGCCTTCCCTGCGTATTCTCTTCACATCCCCATCTCTCCGTGTCCCCGGCATTCTCCAGTCGCGTTTCCTCGATCGCATCGGCGGAAGTAACCGGGTCCGAGACTCTCTCAGCGATGCGCTTGCAGATGGGTCGCGTGGTGTCACAGCGAAGATTCGCTGGCTGCCGCACGCCGTATCAGACCTCGAAGACTCTTACGAAGAGGGCCGACCCAGGTGGATACACTGCACTCCGCTGCTCGGACAGAACGGGTCTGTGGGCGTCTGGATGGTGGTCCTCGTTGACGAGAAGGAGCACTCTGCGCCGCATCGCAGATTCCGCCAAGCACCGCCTATACCCAACGACATCCGCGGCAACAGCTTAACGGGAGACAGGCGACCCTACCAGACTCCTCGATTCGATGAGTACGGCAACGATACCAGCAGCCAGCGTACCCCCTCACGTGGGGCGTCTCCTTATGCGAACGGCAATGGCGTATCCCGTCATTACGACAACTTGCGCAACCCCTCGACTCCGACGCGAGCGCAAAGCCCAATGACCTATGATCAGCGTGGCATCCGATCAGGCGCGTCGTCGGTCAAAGACTATGTCAACGGGGCACAGGCTAGTGTTGATTCTTTCCGCATCTAGCACTGCTGATTCCCTTTCAGGAAGAGGAAGAGGCAGCGTTGGGAACGGCAACACCGGTTCGCATGGAGATAAGAGACGGCGCAACAAGAATATACTGAGAGAGATACCTCATGAAGAGTGTTGAGCCTGAGAACGAGATGGTCGCATATGAAAAGAAGATGAAGGATATATAGACCGGGTGGTCGGGCTGTACTGCGCTGTTGTTCATCTGCTCTATACCCATTCTGTAAACGTAACTTAAGCATAGCATCGATAGCGGCGTTAATTTTCATATGTCCATAATTCTTAATATATATCACAAACAAGATCAAAATAATGGGCAAGTGATAGGGCGCATTTGCGCAAGAGCAGGCCAGCGAGTGTAAGCGAGTCTTCGCCGCGGGAGTGCCGCCATGCATCATCCCTCCAACACGTCGCATCAACAACAACCCCACCACCACCCCCGACGTGTCGCTGCGTGCCAGACCGCGCCCCATCTCCCACCATGGCGACAGTACGGCCAATGCGCCCAACCGACCTCCTTCGAGTATCTCAATGCAACCTCGACCACCTCACAGAAACATACAACATCGGTTTCTACCTCGAGTACCTGACAAAATGGCCCGAGCTATGCCAGATAATAGAAGGCATGGACGGCGAGATTGAAGGCTACAGTAAGACACCAGACAACTCTTATTCCTTCTACATGTGAAGATGCGTAACATCCACTAACACCTCCAAGTCCTAGGCAAACTCGAATCCTCGCCCTTCGACCCCCCGATAAAACCCTACAAGCCCTCCACAACCGGCGTCCAATACCCCAACTACCTCCCCTACCACGGCCACATCACCGCCCTCACCGTCGCCCCCTCCGCGCGCCGCCTCGGCTACGCAACCGCGCTGTCGTCTGCACTCGAACAATCGTCCGACGCGGCCAACGCGTGGTTTGTGGATTTGTTTGTCAGACGCAGCAATGAGATTGCGAAGGAACTGTATCGCAAGATGGGGTATAGTGTTTATCGGGTTGTCAAGGATTATTATAATGATGGCGAGGATGCGTTGGATATGCGGAAGAGTTGTAGTAGGGATGAGAAGGGGGAGTGTGTTAGAAAGGATGGGGAGGAGTGGGAGGTGGGGGCTGAGGATGTTTGGTGAGGGCGTGAGAGATGATGGGCTATATTTTTTGAAGCGCGCGAAGGGTGGTGCGGGACGGGAGGAAGGATGCTGTATATACCCCGGTGCTGTGGAATTGAACGGCGAATGAGGCATGGCGGATGCATTGACATTAGTTACGGGGTAGATGATGTGAGTGAGATGGGCATACATCAATTGCGGCTGTTGACAAGAACCCAGTCCGAACAACCGTGAGAGGATAGTCTCAACGAAGCATAACATCAATTGTTAGCGTAGGAATGGGAAGCTTCCGCTCCTGTCCATCAAAACCCTCTCGACATAATCCTCTCTACAGCCTACAACATACCCTTTCAGCAAGCCTACTCACATGCTTTCCCGCTCACTCACCAATCCACCACAGCCAAACTCTTCAACCTCCCAATCGCAAACCCAGACTCCACCTCTCCTCACTAACCTCCTCCATCCGCCGCAGCCCCACCCTCTCGTAACAGCCAATCCGATCCCAAAACTCACACTCGAAGTAACGTGCCACAACCGCGGAGCGCATCGGTCATACGGGATCTCGACAGCCGGGATGCAACCGTCAGCGTCAAACGAAATTCCCGTTCCCGCAAATACGAGTCTTGGGTTCAACGAGAAAAACGAAAAGGAAATTGCGTTTGCAGGGCTGCTGGCAGTGCGGTGTTGGGTTCGCGATGCACGTTCCCGTCGCAAGACACTTTTGGATGTGTAACCTTGGATGGAGGTACAACCCAAGGACTGGTTGGTCCGTGCTGAGTGAGCGAGCATATCGTAGGAGTGGTCGTCTGATGACGATGGGGATGCGCAGTGAGGGCTATAGTAAGAGTATTTGTCGTGGGGAGTTGTCGAGAGAGAATGAAGGCTATTAATAGATCTCTAGTGACAGTAACATTTCATACAATTTGGCACTTCCTCATCGCAATATTAGATGTAATCAGATGAAGGATGAATCTGGGTTGAATATGTTCATTACAGCGGCTAGCACTAAAGAGAGATGAACGCGACAAGAGCCCTGAATGCTATTGTAGTCCGCAATCGTGTACCTAGGTGGCTACTTTACACCAACACACAACAGAAGAGTAGAAGCAGCGCAACGTATGCGCCCATTGCACTATTTGCACTCGTCTCAGCACAATAACTATTCGAAGTGGTCGGTCGTATGCCACTTATCTTTACTGGCTTATTGAGACAATAGCAATCTTTTCCCTCTCACTTCATACCTATTGTGCGGCGCGAGTAGATGCCTGGTGCCTAGCGTTGTTCCCATGAACTTCTCTTACTTTTGAATCAACCTCAATGCTTATTCCCACAATCACCCCGCCGGTATCCACACCGCCAAGCCTCTGGTCGATATAAGATCTCAGAGTTGGAGCAGCTGCCATCCTTCTACCTTCATCCTTCTACCTTCATCCTTCTACCTTCAACCTTTCTACCTTCTACATTTATCCTTTGACCTTTAACCTTCAACCTTCATCCTTCGACCTTCATCCTTCAACCTTCAACCTTCAACCTTCAACCTTCAACCTCGCGCCTCACACCTTGCGGCCAACCTCTACGACACCCACTCGCCCACCGACCACTGATGCCTGGATTCCACATCAAAATGAGTGTCAGCATCAACTTCTCGCCCAGTGCATGGCAAGACCCACCCTCCGTTCATCATCCATTCCTCACTCAAATCCGCGAAGCTGCGTCGAAGTACCGCCTGCAGTCCGCCAGTCACTTCAACATACCGATCGACGTATGTCAGGCCGCTCACGCCTCGAACCCAGACCTACTCGCCGACATCGACACGGACTTTATGCTCTATGTTGGCTTCCACAACTTCGGAACTAATCCCATCTTCGCCGTCTGCCGTCCGAAAATCGCGAGGCGTGGACGCGACAAGGGCAAGTTCATCAGAGGAGCGGTACAAGTGTGGTTGAGGAACAAGTTTGTACCGCTGTTACGGTTCTTCGAGGCTGAATTCCCGCCGTTGGATGGGCCTGTGGCCGACGAGATCATGTACCAGTGGTGGAATGCCAACGGACGTACCTTCAACTGGACTGGCTTGCCCACCGAGGTTAAAGAGCGAATACTCATGTTCTGCATGCATCGTTCCCCGCCACTACCCATTCAGAAGAAATCTCGAGGCCGCGTCCGCCAGGTTAGTAAAGGCGCACCCGAAGTCGTCGGACAGCTTGGCAAGTGGGCTTCCCTCCTCACCGTCTCACATCAAGTCCGCACTATCAGCCTCCGCCTGTGCTTCGCGGGCAGCAGCGACCTCGAGTTCGGAAACGGACTGTGCATCGTGGCCGAGAGCCTGTATAGCTTCAAGCGCAGCATTCGGAGATTGGCGAAGCATCGACAATTGACCGAAGGAGACAGTATTCCGACCGACGACAAGAGCAGGGAGCTGGAAATTCTATACAATGCGTTCCCACAGATCTATCCACACTTGGACCGATTCGCCACCTTCAACCATGGTATCCGAAAGATCTACCTCCAACTATCTTTCATCGACGGCTTGAATTTCTTCAAGGTGACCGCTGGCTCTTTCGCACAGCACCCGAAGCCTCGTCTACCCAATTATGAAGTCTTTGAGACGCTCCCACACCTGAACGAGCTAATCTTCAAGCTACCAGACGCCACTGGATACCTCGAGGATGACTTCAGAAACCAGCGAGTCAGCATTTTCTACGGCGAGCCCTTCAATTGTCCTCGCACCCTACATCGACTCATCTACGAGAGCGCCGCCAAGGTTCTAGCCCCGTACAAGGCCGTCAAGTTTCATGGCTTCATGGACGAGGACGAGGAGGACAGGTTCCTGAGTCTTCGCAATGTCGCAAAGAATGAGTTGATTATTACTACAGAGGAGCTCAAGGAGCTATACAAAGATGAAGCTGGCGGTATAGAGTTGGGGGAAAATGTTATTCCTGGTGTTGAGAAGGAACACGTGTATGAGGAGGAGCGGGAGATCATTCCCGATGATTTCTGGCCGCCCAAATGTCGGTGCGAGATCTTGTGTCGGGAGGTTCTCCACCCAAACTCTAACTGAGGGCGAGCCGTGTTGAAGAGGGCGTCAAGTAAATATCCTAGTCTCTGTTCCGAGGGTAGATAGAACGGATGTCGGTCTGGATCTCCAATGTCATCAACTTTGTCCAGAATTCTCCTCCCACTTTACTAAGATGGCGGTATGCCTACCACTTGGTGAGCAGGGCTTTGTCATGTGTCAGCCGGCTGATGAGCATGGAAGCTGATCCTATGAGGAGGGCAGCACCCTGTTGATGGTCAGTAAATGCATGCGTTATGTGCTCATAAGTAGCAAGTAGCTTACCGAAAACACGATCAACCATCGATACCCATCCTTTGTGTCGTGATCCGTGATGAGTGCGCCTCCAATAGGCGTACCAACAAGACTCGCGACAGCGATAACGCTGTAGAAAGCTCCAATGCGCGCTCCCAACTTGTCGTCAGGTGTGATGTGGCCGATTATCGAGGGCGGAAGAGCAGTGACATTGCTAGTCAAGAAGCCGTATACGCAGACGAAGAAAATGAGAGTAGCCATAGAGTTACCGAGTAGCCATAGGAAGAGACAAAGGCAGCCAGAGATGAGGGTGATGGGCCATAGTAGGTTCAGTCTGCCGATTCGATCTCCGATGAAGCCTCCCAAAGTTGCGCCGATAATGCTGGAGCCGTTCAGCATGCACAAGAAGTAGTCGCTAACTTTGTTACCAGGGTAGACTGAGTTAGCATATGGCTTAAGATAATACGCCGGGATCCAAAGGCCTAGTATAGCAAGCCACGTTCCAATGCACAGTACGGCATAGCGTGTGTCGAGAAATCCTTTGAAGTCGATAAGCGAGCCGAGCCCTTTGCGATCCGGTTTGCCACTGGGCTTGCTTGTAGAGATACGTAAAGCAACTAAGTAGCAAACACTGAGATAGTTAGCTGATGCAAGACTGATGCGGCGGCTGCGACATACGCTATCTTGACAGCAGCCAGACGTAGCGAATTTGGGAAGCCCAATCTCGGCAGTAGTTGATCGAACATTAGCGGGAAGCCAATCCCGCCCAGTGCCGACCCTGTAGATACTAACCCCATAGCCAAGGCACGTCGCTCTTTGAAGTGCTGGCCAACTACCGTGACTGCTGGCTGTACACCGAAAGCAATGGTAAAGCCCATCAGCAAGCCTTGCGTCATCAGAACCAACCAGAACTGTCCAGGGTGTATGAACGACAGTATGATGAGGGCCAGCACAGTGCCAGCGCCTGAGCCAAGGTAGAGGTTCTGACCATGGCGTCAGTTTTCTTCAAGGAGTGACGGGGACGAGTACTAACCGTAACACCATATCGATCGCAAAGAGCACCGGAAAGTGCAGCCAGTAAGTTCATGAGCGCCATTTGAACCGTCCCAATGAATGCGATAGTCGATGGCGGCGTCTCTTTCAGAAAGTCGCTGCTATAGTAGTTCTGGAAGAAACCAAAGCTGTTCATAACCCCAAAGGAGGCGTAGTACACCAGTATGGAGCCGAAAACCGTAAGCCATGCCGCACGCCCACCCTCGCGCTCCTGTAGCTTACACGATTCGGTATCGGTACTGCTTTCGGTGTCGTGACGTCCAAGAGTGTCTATAGTCTTTTCAGTCATTGTGTAGACGATGAGGATGGCGGGCTCGAGGTAAAGATAGAGTTTGATGTGCATTCTTCACCGGTACTTCGTCCAGCACTATATATAGGCTTCGTTACCCTCCCACATAATTCATCAACATAACGAGGTCTATTGGGAGCCGAGCTTGCCAGGTCATTAGACTACGTCGGAAGGGAAGTACCGTTTACGTTAGCCGTTCTACCCATAGCCCCAGTATACGCTCTTTCTGTTGGCTTGGTATGTACGTGATCCTCATAAATCGTGTCGGAAATGTGGGTTCGTGAACCTTGAACTCATGAAAAGGTTGGCATGATCGTCATGAAACCAAACGCTGTCACTATCGACGGGTCGGTGATCGATTTGAGCATGGCTGTTGGCGACGTAGCAAGAGAACTGGTGGATACGTACAGCTCGGATGTAGCCTGAGACGTTACGTGCGGAGTGTCTTCAGACCCACTGGATATGACGCCTTCGACAACAGTAGACATGTCATTTCGGCTGCGGTATGCCTCTGGCAAATACGACTCCAATGAACATGCTAGCCGTTTTGTGCTACACATGACGGAATGCTATTGGGCTACCTGAGGCACAGCTCCACATGTGTATTGACTGATGATGCCCAGAAAGCTGGTTGTTCCTGACAAATAAGTAAGCTGGCAAGGTCAAGATATCATGCATCTGGCATGGTGGTCGCGAAGTTCCATTCCTGTACGTCGTTCATGAGCAACACGCCAAACCCGTGTCTTCCGTTCAGTTGCACAAAAAGGTCAGATGTAAAATTCCCCTTAGTGTGAGAAATTGGTCGACACTGTTATTAGCGGTCTCTTTCGCCGAGGTTTATCAATGAGAAAACCCGGCCAGATTGGGACATTGGGAGGTTATTGTTCTGTCGCAAGCCAAACTTTCATCGTTATCCGGCCAGGTTGTTGGTATGCAGAAAGGTTTCAACGGAATCGTGGAGTGTTTCCATAACGGCTCTGAAGAACAAGTTTTGCTGAGTCGACATGCTTCAGCGTTCCCAAGGATCTCGTAGCCTCCAGGGCTTCCACCACTGCAGACAGTACGCGACTTCTGAATCGTCAAGAATGGCCGCCTGTTGAATAGTATCAAAGACGAAAGGTATGATTGCGAGTAATTCGGGTAGTTATTTTGGTCTCTCCAAAGGTCGTCGACGTTGTACATGCGGAGAGCGGGCTGTGAGTCCGGATGGAATCAGGAGATGCGATGGTTCACGGGACGGGCACGGAAATAACGACTAGCGCCGCGCTAGTACGGAAGTACAGCAAACCAGCCGTGCCTGCACCGATGCCGACATCACTGTCGATTCTTACGAAAGCTGGCACGGCACATATCAGGATGACCGATACCAAAGAGCCCCAGACCACGATGCCTATTTGGTTCGAAGAAAACCCCTCACACGACCATATTCCTCCCGAGACCCGGCGGCTTCTCGAAACGTGGAGTGGAATCCCATCAGATGACGTACTTGATCATGTTGTCCGACTTCGTGAGAAAGCCTGGAAGGTCCATCCATATCCTTGTATTGGGCAGTTTCGGTTTCTCGACCCCAGTTTCTCCGAGCTCCCGGAGGAGCGCAAAGAGATCGTGGAACGCCTACACAAAGGTCAAAAGCTGCTAGACATGGCTTGCTGCGTTGGCCAGACGATTCGTACGCTTGCGAACGATGGAGCACCGACTGAGAATATGTACGGTTGCGACTTGCAGTCAGACTTCATCGAGCTGGGTTATGAGTTGTTTCGCGATCGAGAGAAGCTCAAGACGAGGTTCTTGATAGCCGACATTTTCGATCCTCGATCAGCGCTCATGGGCATCAAAGGGCAGGTCGACATGGTATATGCCGGATCTTTCTTCCACCTGTGGGGATATGAGAAACAAGTCGAAGTCTCCAAAGCCGTTATCGCGTTGCTACGCCCTCAACCAGGCTCTACGATACTCGGTCGACAGGTCGGGGCCACCGAGCCCCTCGAGAAGGAAGGTCCTACAGGCACGATGTATCGACATAATGTGGAGAGCTTTCAGAAGATGTGGAACGAGATAGGCAATGATCTCGGTATCAACTTCACCGTGGATGCCAAGCTCAAGCCGCTGGGTAGGGACCATCAGAAATTCCATCTAGACGACACTACAAGGCGGCTGTGGTTTGTCGTACGCCGTGGATAGCGCGCTTCATCTCTGCATACCGTTCAAGGAAAATGTTGGACGCCCATTATCAATACAACACCTAAAAGTCTACATTGTCTTGGGATGTTACCAGATCTCGTCGTTGTATTGATGTAGATTACAGCGCACTTGTTCAGTCTCTCCCTCGCATCTTTGATTGCTTTTTGGACTGTTCACGAGAACACCCAACCCGAAGTTTCCTGTGCCTTCCCGTGTAATGTAGTTAGTACGTCCGTCTCGGTCCGTACCTGAACAGGTATAGACGTTCAGTTATTCGAAGTGTCTGGCCCTCATCTTCTGGTGCAAAGCCGTACAAAGAGCGTGGAGTCAGGAAGTCAGATCAGATCTGTATGCATCTTAGCGAAGAGCTCTAATGCAAAGTTCCGCACCAGGTGGACATTGTCGCTATTTTTGCGCAGCAGCACTAACATATTCGCTCAACGCAGTCCAATTTTGCCGGGATGCGTAGGGATAAAGGGTCCAACTACGGCAGCCCTGTCCGCACTTTTACTTTAAGCCTAATTCCCCATACTTTTCGATATTTCGCCTTCAATTTCGAGAAGGTTGCTGATTGGCCAATTCACTCTCGGACCGTAACATCGGGAAAGCCACTTGCCTGGCTGCAGGAAGAAGTGCAAACTTCTGCTCGGTAAACATCAGTCGATCAACATCTGCCGGCGGGCGACGGTCACGTTCTCGTGTTCATTTATGGCGGTAGCAGGAATGTACGCGTTCTAGCCCATCTTGACCGAGCCAGAACACCGAGGCAGACAAGGGGTCTGTGGTTCATCTATCCAAATGAAATGCGAGATGCAATACTCAGCTCAGCCGCTTCGTTAGTGGGAAAACGTTGCAGTCGCAGGTATAGATATTGCCTATAAGACATGGACGCTCAGCATCAATCCCGGTACCAACTCATCCCCCCGAAGTCAACTTCTAGCCAAGGCCAGGAAAGACATTATGAAGTTCTCCATATGTTTGGCGGTAGCGCTTACTGCGAGTGTAGAAGCGTCTAGTCGCATAAAGAGGCAGTTTGGCTATCCTGATGGTATGAACTCGTTTCGCACGAAGACAAAGCAGTCTAACACCATCATTAGTGGAAGATTGTGGATTGGATGCGTTTGAAGGGCATACGTCCGAAGCGGCACTCTTCTGTAGCAACATCCTCCGTTCGGGAACCGCAACTTCTACCATTACCAGTGGCGTTACCACCACCACAACTACCACT